GTCTAGATTATGCGTTTCTGCATCCATACTTTGTCAAACGCCCAGTTATCGGATCACTGCTGAATTTTATCAAGGAGCTATGCTCGAATGAGCCCATACAAACAAATGAACTGAAACGATTCAGTGGCGTATTACGGTAAAATAAATACGCCATAAATCTAATTGGCGATAAACATACTCGGAGCGGTGAGACAGGAGGACAAAAACCCAGTAGCTAGCGTTCGAATACCCTATAGAAGTGGTACTTCAGACGCCATTGGAAAGACACTTGGGGATTACGAACTTAAAACGTTCTTCCGAACTGGTAACCCCTCACAACAGCACGTCGAAGGAGCTAAGGACCCTGTCGAAACGAAACACCGAACAAACTGCGTCTACCAGATTCCTTGTACAGAATGTCCGGTGATATACACAGGCCAATGTGCTCAATGCACGAATCACCCAGCACAAACTACATGCGCGTTTTCCTTCACGAAATCCAGTCTAGTTTACGAACTACTCTGACGCAACTCAGCCAATGCACTCCACGCAATTGAGTCAAGCCATCAAATCAACTTTGATGGGACATGTATACTCCGGTCAGTACTAAAGTCACGCGTGGAACGAACTTGGACTGAAGCGACAGAGATCAATACACAGCCGGAATGCATCAACCGTACAAATGGCACCAGCGTTTCGTCTCTCTGGCTTGAAATTACTGCACACCTTAGTAGGCGCAGTGGCCAGAGATTAAGCAGGAATCTCGCGCACGCGTGCACAGAGCTAACATACACACAAGCTGGTTGAATAGGACTGACAACTGATCTCAGGAACAGACCAATCAGAAGACACAGTAGATGAAAACCGAAACGTCCACTACGCTGTTTTTTTACCTTTAAAGTTCCCATAAAGTGTATCTACTACTTCATGGTGTCTAAAAGAATGCTCAATGGACGTCACAAAGACGGCCAAATAATTGGAAGATGAGTTTTTTCTAATTAGGAGCCCCTTGTTGCACGTGCAATCTTCCCCACTACAGCCATCATTCCCCAGTTTTATCTGTGCATGTACTTTAATGAAATTGCATAAGTGAACGTGGTCCTTACTGACCCTGTTGAACAAACGTATTTGATAGCTTCCAAATGCGTCCGATCGTGAATCCGTCTCGCAGAAAATAGGAGTACTCAAAACCTAAGGGCTGAGGTTATGCAGTGGGATACACTACCTCACTTGAAACTGCACAACGTGTTGAATGCCTGTGATACTAACCCAAATTTCCGTAATTTTCCGTACTCCCTTGTTTTCTGATTTGAATATCAAAGGATTTACTATTGTTATTAGATTGTGAACTTATTAACCAAGCTATAGCATGTCAAGATGAAGTCCAATAAATTTGGAAGTCGTGAGGCATCAGTAAAGGTATCTTAACTTGGATGGTTTGTTGTAGTAGGATGATGACACTGTCTTTTTCTAGCTACAAGGTCGTTTCTTGTGAGCACAGTTTGAGCAGGTCTTAGAGACACAATCAGCCAGTGTCATTTTCATTGGCAAAAATTTGTCAGCAGTTGCATAATCGTACCACTGCTTAGGTCACAGTCTTGACGGTCCCACCAACTGATTGTTTACCGAAGCTTTCTGAAACAGTGGTCTATCGGATCCGTCACACCAAACTAACGATGAAGACCGTTATGTGAAGCAAAATGAACCGTCTGGCCACGTGGACTGAAATCCAGTTATATTGTACGATCGACTATGTGAAGATCGATCACTATTGTGATCAGAACAAGCCTTTGCATGCCCGCAGACCTCTTACGTTTCTCCGTTGTACTGACAGTCGCTGTTCCCTGTTTTAAGGTTTATCCCTTAGATGATCGTAGAACTACGTCAACCAGTTTCCTGACGGTAAATTGGTGGGAATCGGAAAATTTCTCCGACAGGAAAAAAGGTCTGTATAAATTGCACATAAGTTTGCTCAAAATTCCTTTACATCCAAACACCCGTCAAATAAGCGTAGTCCCCAAATTTTCCTCAGTGCGTATGTTCAGTTCGAATGCATCTAGTACGTAGCCAGCGAAGTACCAACATTTGTAAACCAATTTGTTTCACAGGAGACCCAACTGGATCCTAGCTGAATCTCCTATTTCTGATATACCTTAACAGAATGTACTGCAGAAAGTCAGCCTCACATTTCATTGTGTACACTGTTCTAGGTGTCGCAGTGCACTGTACAGATAGGGCACACTACTCAGTACGTTTAGTTGAACAATATCATAAAGACGATATTTAACTGGCATCTAGCTGGGTCGCCCATTCAAAACCAATGTGGCTTGATCATGAGAACAGTTCGCGAGTCTTCCAAGTTGACGAACTATACGAAGCTTGAAATTTTGGAAAGAAGGTTAACTATACCGAGGATATCCGCTTTAAAACCTTGCTTTAATATAGTATGAATACAATCGCACTGAGATGCAGTCATACGACCTGAATGCAGACCCCATACGACCAAACTTCCAATAGTTCCTAGACCCCCTCGATATGCTTAAAGGTCATTCTGAACCCCCAACAGCTGATTCATTCAGACGAAATGCCATCAAAGCACGACACGCAATTTCACATCATGCTTCCCCTGATGAAATTTTCAGATTAAATAAGTCTGTGGCTGAGGTGGTCAGTGCGGTCACAGTTCAGATCGCAGTTTACGGAAGAGCATCTCAGCACAAATGAAGTTGAGATGAATGCACACTTTTCGGGTGAACAGGTGAGCGGATGCAGAAAATAGGATTGTCATCACAAGTCCAGTCATTCGTCGCTTATAATAATCAATAATTGCCAGTAAAACAAGTGCAAATTTATTCAAACGTTGAGTTGAAACTGAAAAATTCATCCAGTACCGAAAAACTCTTCTATGCTGATAGTTTTCTTTCTAACCATGTATTAAACCAAGTGATGTGAAGAAAACCTTGTCGATCTGGTATATGCAGACGACATTGTTCTCATGTTCGAAGGGGAGGAAAAGGCGCAATTATTCTTGGATGAACTGACCAAGGTCATCCCGTCCTTTGGTATGCACTTTGCACCTACAAAGTGTAAGATCATGCTCCTGGACATGCAGTCACCGAACACGCCACTTACAATCCAAGGAGAGGGTACTGGAAGTGTGGAGCGTTTTACTTATCTTGGAAGTTGTATTTATTCTGATTGTGGTGTGACAGATGAATCAGTAGAGCCTTGCATGAATCTGCAAGCCTCGAGCCGAGTTCACTAACTTGAGACACCTATGGCGTCAGAATGGTTTATCCCTGAATCTGAAGGGGCGTGTGTATCAAGCTACAGTACAGGCTGACGTAAACTATATGGATTGTAAGCAAATCGGCTCCCGTCTCGGAGAATGTTTGAACGCCTTTCGTTATGTCTTGGAGGCCGCCAAACTTAGTGCATGACTATCGCTCTGGGCTTGTCATCAACCGAGGCATGTGAAAATGTAGATATTGGTTGGCAAACCAACCACCCCTTTCCGAAGAATTAGAATCAACAGACATAAGTTAACCAGACAGCATTTCTGTACTCCCACTATTCATGTTTTATTCATATTCTTTACTCCATTTATCAAATGAGATGATGTAAAAAACATGTTAACCCAAAGCTGCAACCTTGACGTGGTTGTCGGGCCCGAGTTCTGCAATGATTCCCTGGGCTACATTGGCTGGAACTTCGTTCCACAATGTGCAACCATACCAGGAGGAACAGTCAGACCAAGAACAGTGATACGCCGTGGTCACCGACGTGCTGTTCATTACGGTCGAATTGCTTTTAAAACCAGAGTCTAGTGCTGCTGTGCGCAGCCGCAACGGGAGTGAGACAGTAATCCCCTACCCTCCTGCGCCCTCGGGTTGGTCCAACTTTCTGCAGGTCAAGCTGCTGAGTTTTCGGCTCCAGGCAGGGTCACCGAAGAAGACCCTACTGCCCGCTGCATCGTGGGTAAGACTTTTGAGTCAGAGGCTTTAACCAAATCCCATTCCTCGGTCTGGACAACCACGAAGTATCATTTACCCGCACAGTTCTTCGTCCACCGATGTCCCCTCGAAACCCTCCCACCAAACGCGGCTGGGTCATTTGACTGTGAGTTATATGACCGACGGGCCTTATGCACCCCACTGACTACTATTAATAAGGAGATCAATATTTTACCAAATCCGCGAGATCCTTTCTACATAGGAGTTTTTAACGTCTGTACTTCGTGTCAAAAAACAGGCAATGCTCGCTGAATCTTTATTCCCACTTAAAATTGATGCATGTTGTTTGCCTGAAACACCAACACAAAATCCAAGTGTGGTTACGCATCTCAAAGCGCCAAGGATGAACTCAGCTCTTTCACGTTTGTCCCTCTGTGTGTCCAGTGATCCAGGAGCGATGGCTCGTGGAATGTGGCGGGAGGGTTGCAATCAGTTCCATAGCTAAAGGCGCATTGCTGGATTGGATCCCAGTGAACAGTCGTCTCTGCGCCGTCAGGTTATCCAGCCCAATCAAGCTCAGTGCCTCTCGATTAAAGGAAATTGATACCTGTTTTTAGATGTCTCCATAAATTTTTGACCATCCTTAAGGCACTGTACGCCAACTCCCCCGTTCTAGTGAAGGTCTACGGGAATCTGTCATTCCCTCAAATGGTGTCAGGCAAGGCTTTCCTCTTTCCCTTTCTCCCTCAACTGTGTCACTGATACGATTATAGAAGATTCAGTATCAACCCCTAATCCCTGTGGGATCGCAATGATCCTAGGGTATTCGATCACAGATATCGAGACGCAGACGACATAGCTCCTCTTGGATCTGACACCGCAGTAATGCAAACGATATTAAATAATTAAAAAATTCTCCAGCGGTTTGGTATGCGCTTCACATCTGTAAATTGTGAAATGTCATTGCTAAACTGTGTGGGCTCGAACCCTAGTCTCATGCTTGCGAATACAATAGCTTATATAGTAGACAAATTTGTTTACCTGGGCAGCTGCGCCAGCTCCGGTGGTCTAGCCAAAGATGATATTTCCATCCGGATTGGAATAGCCACGCCGGATCAGTAATGGTGAAGTGTGTCGAATGGTATTCGAAAGAAATAACTCACTCCACAGGTTGTGCTGGCTTGCTCTGTATGCCCCGCAGGGCCCTTTTTGCACAGCCACGTGAAAGGTGGAAACGAACCAGTGGTGGGCAGACATTGAATTTTCAGCGAAAGCCTTGGTCATTGCCGTCTCCCCGGATAGGGACCGCGATACGGGATATATCACTTGCTAGAGACATTGTCGGACATGGTCCATTCGCGAACTCAACGGTGGCATCAAAACTATTGCTTTCATTGCATAGCTCCTCTGCTAATTTCCAATAAAATTTCACAGTCCCTGTCTGTATACATCAATTATTTCAGATATCACCTCCAATGCGCATCTACTCGCCTCACCTCCCCAAATCATCGGCTAACGAAACTGTGGCGTGCAGAATCACTGTACGGCAAATACGCGGTTTTTACAGCTGTTGCTGCTGCTAATGATGATGTCTGGCGAACTATTTTGGTGTATGAAGTGGCACAAGTGGTCTACATGTTATCCTGGTCAGAGAGGTATATTATTGTGGGGTAGTCCAAACGGTACGTTTTCACCAGTGATCTTTGGAATTGTTGCTTACATATTAACGCACTTCTTGGAACTGGACCAAACTCCATGAAATGCTGGCCAGTATCAGAGAACTGTCTTCGTGTATTTCTTTTCAGATCGGATGTTTTGTGATGTTTACGATGAGTGGGGAGGTCCAATCAGGTTGATTCTATCAATAGGCTTAGTGAGTTTGTAGAGGTCACTCACTAGACCACGCGTCACAAGCACTTAAACCACGTGACAATTCCGGCCACACTGGCAACCTTGGCTGACAACGTGTACACCACAAATTCCCAGCTATTTTCGTTAATGCGGTTACCACATGCGTCACGCGCCAGGCTTACGAATTTCGATACATCAGGTCAAGTTGTATTCAGGTTCCTGCAAGGACCAAACACGAAGTGACACAATAAATAGGCGTAAAACTTGGCCCAACACACACACACACACACATACACACACGCACAGGACAGGAAACCAACTGTGCTCCACACGTCCCCACGGATAAATACAGAACACGTGTAGCAGTTCCTGCGTCCGGAACTTTCACTAAGGAACTCTCAACAAGTGTCCTCAAACGAAAAGTCACTTTCTGGCTTATTCCACTTTTTGCATTGTATCTATTTTATCAAATGCACCTAGCTATTGTATTCATCGTCATCACTGTGGTAAAACAAACATTTGTTAGCGCTTGTTACCTTCTGATGATCAGTTTAATTAGGTTACAACTAAAACACTAACAAGTTCACGAACGTTAGCTACACGATACATAGACTGGTGTTGAGAAGGGACCGAGTAGCGAGGGTTAATGCATGCCCAAAAGAACCAATGAAATTTGAATCAAGTGGCAGTGTGGGCTGATCTGCCACCTGAAGCCCATCACGATCAAAGCACTACTCTTACAGGTCTGAGCTTGAAACCATGACTTAATTTAGTGTTTTTCAACCGTTACAAGCAGGTACCGAAAAGCTCCTGTTCATTTAAAACGACTTACCTTGAATACCCATATCTTTCAACACAAATTCTGGCACTTTGGAATGCAGGTATCTAGGGCAGGTCAGCGATGAGTTGCTTCTATCATTTGGATATGTTATCTCATTGAAGCCATTCGAAAGATGCTGCTCCAGATCTGCTGGTGCGATGTTGACAAACGGATGCAGAAACGACGCTGGCGGAATCGGAATGCTGGGAAAATCGATTAGACCACAGGGAAACGTCATGGGTTTGATGGAGCTGAATGGATCGTAGAGAAAACTAGCCAGCTGTTCACCCGAATGTGAATGATTCTGACTCTGTGGATGGCCATCTTCATCGCACTCCACAAGGTCCTCCTTGCTGGCATTCGACTCATTCAAGTAGTATGCAGAACAGTTCATTGTCAGATGACTGAATGGACCCAGCCCTTTACATTCAATCTTCTTTTTCCGTGCGCGCGCATTTTGAAACCAAACCTAGGTCGTGTAAATCAAGAGTGGACTTCAAAAAACGTTCTGCATCACTTCTTCCAAGAAAAAAAACAACTATTCGTGGACTGCCGAAAAGTCTATCGAGGACAAAGAATGTCTCATAGGCAGCCAGAAATTTTCTTCCAAAGATTCACTCAAAACCGGGTCACGTGAATGGAATCAATGCAGTCAAAATATTACCGGCGCCATGTCTTATTTCATACGGAGCATTCAGGTCCTTTCTGGATGGTCGTAGATTCGAGTTCTGCTACTGGGTCAGTTGATGCTCTGACTGTAAAATGAAAAATGGCACATGGCTTCTTGGCTTTCCATGGTTCACTTCACCATGCTCTACGATGAAACATACTGCGTTTTGACCCATCGTGTCTTCAGCTGCTTTGGATAGAGGGAGCCAAATGAACGAGAGAGCGGTAGCAACCTTGTAAAAGAGTATAAAAAAACGTCGCATTATGTTGTACACGACGTTCTTTTAGGCCTTACCTATGCTAATAATGTGTTAGAGGATTGATAGCTCGGTATATTTATTTGCATTTGAGCAGATGAGATGCCTGCAAGTATACTTCGAGGGCATGATTTAAGACTAGCCTAAGGATCGGCAGACTCGCTGTGACTTGCACTATCGAAACCAAACTGGAAGCCTAACGCAATGGAGAGACAAATGTTATCAACAAAATTCAATGCAACGATTGTGACAAGCACTACATGGGACAAACAGGCAGGAAACTGTCAACCAGAGTCGTTGAACGCAAGCTTGTTACTAGAAGACACCATCAACTATGGCTCGGCTCCGGAGATGAAGACCGGGAAAGATACGAATTAGACTGAACCTATGTCAGCATGCTAGGACAAGCAAGAACAAACGGAGAATTCGAATTTGTGGAAGACTGATTCTACACTGATAGAGAAGTAAACAGAGGAACTGAGGTCAAACCCTGTCGGAACCCTATCGGACAAGCGAAGTGCAGAACCACCGAAAAACCTGAACCGAACAAGGATTCGAGTTATGAAACAATGGAAGTAAGTCAAAAGAGTAAGTTAAAAGATTGAAAGAAAAAATTAAGTGAACCGAAATTTTTAGCTCTCATCATGGATCAACAAGTCGGAGACCCAAACGGGCCGAAACACTGGGAGCCTCAAGGAGGGAAGACATATAAACCAGAAAGCCAGGCTCATGAAGCATAACCGCAAAGTGATAATGGACCAAAAAGGAACGAGCACGGTGAACTACTAAAAATGAGAGGTACACCACCGACCAATCAAACAACATGGAGTTGGACCAGGATGCAATACATAGCACAAATGGGTCAATCATAACAGGAAATAATTAAAAGCAGGGACAGCATGTGGTAGAGAACTCGAAAGCAAGGAATTCAGACCACGAAGCAACATGGATTATGGACGAACCAAGCAGACTATAATTGAGATGACTCTGAATAGTCAGTCGGGTTAGAGCTTAAAGCTGCTCTCTGTAATCTACGTAAGCGCAATCGCGAAGGGGAAAATGTCTATTTGATAGCACGTGATGATGTCTACACAAACGGTGTCGAAACATTTGTAAATCAATTGCCAAACTCGGCTTACAGACCAACAGACATGTCATCAACTGCCTCACCTAGCATGCCAAGAGATCCGTGTGTTTCCTGAGATTCCAATCGATACATTTGATTCGTTTGTTACTAAAAACCACTCTCAGTTCGCCCAAACTAAATAATACCTGGATCATTATCGTTCTGTCTGATGCGGTTAGAAAGTTCTTAGTCGTGTGTCTGATTGAATTTTATTACGCTACCCACAAATCTTGACGGAACGGACGAGTCGCTCACGTTTGAGCTCCGAATGATCACCGGTAACTGCCCTGGTTGTGCTTTCACCTAACAGGGCTTCCCACTCGGAAAGCGCCACCGCCGACTGAAAACGGTCGGAAAACTTGTGATTAGATGTTCACGCTTTTGAGGTTGTAGAGCGGGATAGTTAACGGGTCTCGGTTCAAGGCTTTGTACAAAGTAATCCTATCGCTCAAGTATGAACACATTCGCCTGCTCACACGTCATAATTAAGCTGCGCCAGCAGTGATTGAATGGTGCTAACGTGATCTTATATTTCTGACATCCGGGGTTCAAACTGCTGACACGGCTAAGGATATGCACTGATAATGAGCTCTAACAAGGGCAAAATCCGAGTTTAATTGTTCTCTTCCCTTTTGTGTAGACTCATCAGAGTAATTAAACCGAGAAAGACTGTTCGGTGGACAATGATGTGAATGTGGATCCACCAGTTATCAAACCAGTTAACCAAAACATGCCCTGCAGTTTTCAATCAGGAATGGTTCCAGCTGACTAAATTGTCCTGAAAGGTGTGTCAGTCGACTGACAAAATGAGAAAAGTTACCTGGTCGTTGCACCAGTCGCCAAGTCTGTAGGCATGGGATGGATAAACCTATCTCTGTTGTTCACCATAGTGTGTTTAATGAGGCCAACTGTTCCCTTGCCACTTACGTTCTAGGGATCCGGCTCCCAGTTTCCCAATAAATTCAAGTCAACAGCTGGATGACAATTAGCTTCACTTTGAGGGAGAATACAGAGTATACCAGTCCGAATGCTTGAATATCTTGATACTTCTGTAGGCCACCATTCCAACCTAAGTCAGATCCCTGACATATACAGACCGGTCGGCTGGTGCGTTGCGTTGAGATCAAGCAACTGAAACTGTTGAACGAAACGTTGTATAAACGGCCCTTCTACGTCAAGCTGATAAGTGCCCTGAGGAACAGAAGGCCTTATTTGGCCAAACTCTTCGGAATCCTTCTAGAAGTTTCCTAATAACAATACTACTGATAACAAGACAGCAGGGTATCCAAGTTGTGCTATTTCCAATACAAGTCAGGGTCGTTTCTGGATCATTGTTCTGATTTAAGTGAACTGGCGTTTGGAGTGTGCGAAGTACGGTTGTCATACCAGTTCGATGCTCACTTAAATAGTACTTCTTCGATTTTTCTGACAAACTCAGATTCGAAAGGTCAACTGTTTGCATAATAGTGTCAGCTTTTTTGGTTGAAACGACTATTTACAAGCTGGATGGCTGATATATTATCTGTGGTGTTTTTAAGTTAATGGGAGCACCACTTCTCAAATGAACCCTTATAAACTTACCTGAGTCACTCTTTTGTTCAGCCGCGCAACGTTGGCAATACGTTCCAATTCTTGGCCATCAGGATTTGCTTCAACGTCAAAATTCGCTTGCAGTATTGCCAGTTGATCTGGGGTAAAGCTGGTCCTTATGCGTTTTGATTTGGAATGTACACTACAACCACTGCTTGTGCTACTATCTATCGAATGGCCACTGTTCTCGGCTGTCACGAACGGACTCTCGGTGGACAACAGACTGGCACTTGCTGCTGTGATGGCTATTGGGGCCATGTCATCCATCTCGATGAGTTCCTCATCTGGATACAACGAATCGGCCGCTGAAGACGATACCAGATTATCATGTTTCTGTGGAATCGGCACGGATGCTGATCTTCTGTTTAAGGACTGATGTAGAAAGGGTGAGTCAGCTTTGTTCTTCACAGGTTCCTCTTCAGGTCTAAGCATGTCTGTGCCGTGGATTCCTGTATGACGGGTTGTCCCTGTTTCATCATTTGCTTCGGATGGGCAGATGACATTATCTGATGGATTCCAAAAGATGAAGCAGAAAATGTATTGAAATGTACTGAATATATATAT